TCGGCGGCGGAGCGGGGCTGCTCGCCGCGCTGGAGCGACGGAGCGCCCTCGTCCAAGCGGCGGAGCTCGGCGTCCATCATGTCCGCGAGCTCCGAGTCGAACTTGGCGCGGTAGCGCTCGAGCTCCGCGGCCATGCGCGCGGCCGCGGCCCTGCGGTCCCCGGGGGAGCCCGCGGCGAGCCCGCCCGCGATGTCGGACCACTCGGCGTGGTCCGCGGCCGACGACGCGTCGTCGGAGTCGTCGTCGGGCGCGAGCTTCGAGGCGAACCTTTGCTGCTGCCTCGCGGCGGCGCGGGCGGCGCGCGTCTCGAAGGGTTTCGCGGCCGCGGGGAAGCGGGCCTCCGCGCGCGCGACGGCCGCGGACGTGTACCGCGACGACGCCGTTCGCACGAACTCGGCGTTGCGCGCCGCGTCGGCCTTGGTCCGGGCCGCGTCGGCCGCCGCGCGGCGCGCCTCGCGGCGCTTCGCGTCCGCGCGCGCGGCCGCGCGGTCCGCCGCGGCCCGGGACGCGCGGGCCTCGCGGGCCAGCTTGACATCGTAGGCGAGCCGCGCCTCGTCGTCGCTGAGGATCTCGTAGGCCCGGGAGATGATGAGGAATGCCTCCGTCGCGCTGTCGTCGCCGGCGTGCTTGTCGGGGTGGAATTGCAGCGAGCGTCGTCGGTAGGCCTTTCGCAGCGCCTCGTTCTCGTCCGTCGACGACGCGCCGAGGAGCTCGTAGAGCGTCGACTTTCGCGCCGACGCCACGAAGGCCGCCGGATCCATCACGCTGCTCAGGGCCCGCGCACCGGCGTCGCGGCTTCTGGGGTTCTCGGCCTACGCGGCATCTTGGGCAGCCCCATCATGCTTGGATGCCGAAACGTCGTCAAAGTTTCCGTTACCGCCGACCTTGAAGCGAGCCTCCGCACCGCGCCCGACTCCTCTCCGCCCCTCGAGTCCTTACCCGAGGGTCCTCGGCACGCCCGTGCCGTCCTGGCCCGGCCGCGACTTGGGGATCTCGCGGAGGATCTTGGGGAAGTAGCCGACGCCGCGGCGCTCGTCGACGTCGATGGTGATGCCCTTCCACTTCGTGCGCCGCGTGGGGACGATGCCCAGGCGCTTCCAGGCGCGCTCCTCGGCGGCGCGCTGGCGCGCGCGGCGCGCCTCCTCCTCGAGCATGCGGCGCTTCGCGTCCTCGACCTGGGCAGGACAAGAGAGATTCAACGTCGCTTCAACGTGAGTGTTCCGCGCGCGCGCGTGCCGGAAAAAGCATCCATGCTTCGAGACCGTTCCAAGAGATGATCGCTCGTCCAAAAATCAGCCAAAACGAGTGGAAAACGGCCGAGATAGGAGCCTTTGAAGTTGGGAATTTCGCTCTCTTGTCCTGCCCTGTCCTCGACGCGGTTCATCTCCTCCATGCGTTTGGCGCGCGCCTCGGCCTCGAGGGCGCGCTGTTTCGCGAGCTGCTCGTCGATGGGCGCCTGCCGCAGGGCCGCCTCGCGGGCGAGGCGCGCGGCCTCGACGTCCGCGAGCACGGCCTCGACGTCCGCGTGCTCGCGCCGCCGCGCGATCTCGAACGCGTCGACGCCGCAGGCCGTCCTCGCGTAGGCGTCGGCGCCGCCGACGTCGAGGAGCGCCTTGAGCGTCTCGGCGTAGCCGTTGAAGGCGCAGGCGTGGACCGCCGTGACGCCCGTCTGCGCGTCGCGCGCGGCGGCGTACTTTTCGGGCGCGGCGACGACCTGCGCGTGTTTGGCGCAGGCCGACGCGAGGGCCGTGTACTCGACGACCCGCGTCTCCTTCTTGCCGTTGCGCTTGTATTCCTCGGTCCGCTTCCGCATGACGATGTTCGTGCGCCCGCGGAAGACGTCGCAGAGGAGGGCGTGGTCCGGCTCCTCCGGGAACCCCCAGTACTCCACGGGCCGCGGGTTCACGCGGCAGGCGTACTCCTCGAGGAGGTCCCGCATGGACCGCGGCTTCGGCGTGGCCTCTTCCTCGGCGTCCGAGTCGTCGTAGCGGCCCATCGTGCGCGCTGAGGGAGGCTGCCCCTG